TCCGAAAAGGTATCCATTTTCCACCATTGTTTGTAATTTTCCAGTTTTGTTTTGTTATATTCTGTAACTGGTTTGTGGTGAAGTATCATCATTATGGCATTCTATAGTGTACATGTACCTTTGCCCCCACATTTTTCTGTTTCATGCACTGCACATCTCTCCCCTCCCCTTCCATCCCATCTCATTTCTTCCCAAGAATACCCCTCTCACCCCACACCCCGTTTTCTCTGTATCTATCTCTCTACTCTCTCCCCTCCCACCCACCCCCCCCCCCCCGCCCCTCTCCGATCTTTCTCCCCTTCACCCACTTCCCCCTCTCTCTCTCTCTCTATCTCCCCTCCCACCCATCTCCCCTCTCTCTCTCTATCTCACTCTCTCTATCTCCCCTCCCACCCAGTCCCCCCTCTCTATCTATATATATCTCTCTCTCTATCTCCCCTCCCACCCAGTCCCCCCTCTCTCTCCCCCCTCCCACCCACTCCCCCTCTCTCTCCTCCTCCTCTCCTCTTCGTTATCTTCTTTCTCACTCCCTCTCCTTGCTCAATCACACAGTATTACTCTCGTTACTTAAATGACTGGGACCCCATTCATAAATGTATATGATACACATTTATTATCTAATACACACAAACTTCACAACTAAGTAGTCACTTCATTTGTTTCACTGCATTGTTATTCAAATACCACATACATTTACATCATCAGCATTGACAATTAATAATCTGGACGGATCAAATTTATGATTGAATTCAAGGTGATGAAAACATAATATAAGGCAGATAATAATCATAATCAGTACTGGATCACAAATGAAAGGTACTATTTTATAAACTCTTGAGATTATGATGATATATATCTCCACGACATGTTAAGAACATAAGTTAACCAATAAAAACAAACACCCGCTTGTTTGTCAGAAAATAAAATTTGTAGGTGATTTCGGTAAAAAGAAAAATCTATTAAAAGAAAGATATACAAAAGGCATTCATCTTTTTGTACATCAAGTGTTAATTTTCTTCTTATTTAAACAAACCCTGAAACTTTCTAACATGCTTTTTCAACCAGTTAAGGTTAGATTTTACACGATGCAACCAGTTTTAAATGGTTGCAAAGTGAAAAGGTACCTTTGAGGCCATACAATGAATTAAAACTCAAGGACCCTCACACAAAAAATATGGACATAAGATATACATGTAAGCTAAATATTGTAAAAAATATGATATTTAGCAATATTCAAGATAGTCCTATGTATATGTATGTACAAGTCAATATACCCTATGAAGGGTGTTATAAATAATATTTATATAATTTGTAAAATGAAATAAACAATTCATGGAATGTGACAGACTATATTAAATCTTACAAGTTATACATGTACATGTACTGTCCTGTGCACAAACGCAATGTACTATTTTCAACGTCAGTATCAAGAGAATTTATTGAAGATTCTGACCGTAGGAATATCTCACACAATAATGAACAGAATCCCATGTTTAGAGATAGACCTTAATGTTGTGGCTGGTAATCATTAATCTTATCCCTAAAAGCATGATCAGATAATTTTTTCATTCCAGACCTTTGCATCAAATCAGTAGCAAATGTTATCGCTTGTTCAACCATCCATTGGTATATACGCACAGTTTTGACAATATTCTTTGAAAGACCATTCAAACATAAGTAGGGTGGGATCAAAATATTTAGGGTTGATGAAATGTGAGAGATTAGGGCCATAGAATCTGGTTGTGCGGAAGGGGTCGTATCACATACACAAAATGAACATATCCCTTAATGATACTGAAAGAACAATTGCTGCTGAATAGACAATGTATATGAAATATATATAAATATATAATTCTGATGGATGTTTACTAATGCTGTTTTAAAGCAGAGTAATACATTCTACCTTCTTGGTCTTCATGAATGCTTCATACACCTTTGCACATTACATTGTATTAACATTACCTCTCATCCTCAGTATCTACACAGGTTTATTCTCATTAGTTCCTTTTAAAAGTGTAGAAATTGTAGTTATAATAAGCCTTGGTTGCTTTACCCATTGAAAATAATTCATTGCATTTTCTCTCTTTTTTCCCAAACCCATCATTAAAGTACATGTACATGTAGTTGAACGCGTTTTGATATTCAATTAGAGTGATATATTTTTTACTTAGTACTCAAGGTGTCAAGAACTGATGCATGATCTAATAAAACACTTATCAGGTGCATCGGTGCGATGGCAAAAGAGAATAAATATAAAATCAAATATATGGTTCCTTCAATTATAGCTATAGTTATCTGTACTTTCTGAAAGCAACATATGATTCACAGCTTCCCTCCCACCACTACCTCCAACAAACTGACCAATATCACCCCCTGCTTTTCCCTGACCTTTGCCCTTTGACCCCTTATCCACGGTCTGACCTTTTGCCCCGACCACCCCACCAGGCCCCTTACCTGCTCCCTGCCCTCTTGTCTTTGCACCTGCTGCAGTTCCATTCTGGTTTTTAACGCTCGAGTTGGGACTTCTGGCATTTGATCCCACCTGACCCTTGGCGTTTGACCCCACCTGACCCTTGGCATTTGACCCCACCTGACCCTTGGCATTTGACCCCACCTGACCCTTGGCATTTGACCCCGTCTGACCCTGTGCGCCTGCGAGACCAGCATTGCTTGATGATAGTCCAGCGTGGAGTGTCGGGCTTGGACTGCGACTGCGTCCTGCCAAGGAAAAACAGAAACACAATGGTGAAGATTCCTCTTTCTAAGACCTTTTTTTTTGGGGGGGGAGGGGTGAAATCAACATTCTCATCCAGTGTATAATGGTATAAATGGGTGTGAAAAATCATCAACTAAGGAAATGTGGCAAACAATTATCATGTCAATAGTAAACCCTATAGGAAAAAAAGATTCAGCCCCCCCCCCCCCCCCAACCAGCCCTCTAACACTTTTCAGGACACATTTAAACACTACCTTTAATTTTCTTCTTACCAGGTTTGATGCATTTAAAATAATCTGCAATACAAAATGTCTAATTTTAAGGGAAGGTTACAGATTCTTGCGAACAGGGACACCATATATATTTGCCATGAAGCCAAAAGAAGAAAAGGCACCCTGTCATCCAATCAAAGAGAAATGGATATTAATTTTTTTTTAAATTTTCACCAAGGGTGATGAATCAAAGAAAGTTTGTCAAAATTACGAATTTCCAGACAATTATCAACTTTAAGGAATTTCAAGGGAAAAGAGGCATACCCCTTCTACAGCCCCACCCCTATATACCGGTAAGTCTTACCTCCCAATCTTAAGCATTCCTCCTTGTGCCTAGCATTCCATGCTTTAATCTTACACGCCTTGCTGCAGTAGTAGACCTCCTTGCAGCGGGTACACGCAGACAGACGCACCCCTATATACCGGTAAGTCTTACCTCCCAATCTTAAGCATTCCTCCTTGTGCCTAGCATTCCATGCTTTAATCTTACACGCCTTGCTGCAGTAGTACACCTGCTTACAGCGGGTACACACAGACAGACGCACCCCTATATACCGGTAAGTCTTACCTCCCAATCTTAAGCATTCCTCCTTGTGCCTAGCATTCCATGCTTTAATCTTACATGCCTTGCTGCAGTAGTACACCTCCTTACAGCGGGTACACGCAGACAGACGCACCCCTATATACCGGTAAGTCTTACCTCCCAATCTTAAGCATTCCTCCTTGTGCCTAGCATTCCATGCTTTAATCTTACACGCCTTGCTGCAGTAGTAGACCTCCTTGCAGCGGGTACACGCAGACAGCCCCACCCCTATATACCGGTAAGTCTTACCTCCCAATCTTAAGCATTCCTCTTTGTGCCTAGCATTCCATGCTTTAATCTTACACGCCTTGCTGCAGTAGTACACTTCCTTGCAGCGGGTACACGCAGACAGCCCCACCCCTATATACCGGTAAGTCTTACCTCCCAATCTTAAGCATTCCTCCTTGTGCCTAGCATTCCATGCTTTAATCTTACACGCCTTGCTGCAGTAGTAGACCTCCTTGCAGCGGGTACAAGCAGACAGACGCACCCCTATGGATCGCCCACACTCGTAGCAGTAACGAAACAATGGCTTCCTGTAAGGCAAGGTATAGAGGAGCGTATTGAACACTATGGGGATGATGATGAGTATTGGTTAGTTTAAATCACTAGAGGTTATCTTGTTTTATAATAACATATTAAGATTCAAAGAATGTTTTGGTAGTGTTATCCATGTACATAACTGGCTAGTGTGAAAGGCTAGCAGTAAATGTTCAGTATATTTTCTAGAACTTGGGGAAGTGTTGTACACATAGGTTTTAACACTGCCTGTTAAATCTTAGGCAAAATTGGTAACCATCATTCTGAATCACAAAAATAATTAGATTCATTACGTGATTTATGTCAAACAAAATAAATATACATACATTGGCTTTTGCAAGTAGATACAATATGCATTCAAAATGAAAGCTTGCCTCAGAGTAGGAACTAAATTTATATTTTCTGAATATCCCATGATATGAACACATTTACTCATGTCTAATTGTGTGTGTGTGTATCTCTATTATCAAAATTTTAAGCCACACTTGAAAATGAATATCATTACAGCTCTCATGGATAACACAGTTACTAGGGTATACAAAATTTGAATGTCAATGCTATTGCTGAAGTATGAAAATGTAGAGAAAATGTGCATCTGTGATGTACAAATAAGTGGTTATCGTAAAACTCTTTCTTCTAAAGATTAATCTACAACACTTTATATCATGGTTTATTGTGTTCATGATTTAACATACAATTGGTAAAGTTAATAGAGTAAAATCTAAAACTACAGCATTAATAATGTCACACACATCATTGAATAATAATGTTACATATCAGGTATTTACACGTAGCTTAAATGGAGTAAATCAAAATGGCAATGTTAGAATGATATGTGTGCATGGCTACTACAGTACAAGCCAGAAAGAACTAGCTCATGTACTACACTTAAACACAGAGTAAGCACCCTTTCAGCTGTCAGCAGAATACATGTATATGTACATTCCAAGCAATCGTCACTTCTGGTTAAGAGTGAGAATTGATGATAAAAAGGAAGTTCAACCCAATATTATTTTTTTTTGTAGAAGCAGAAAATGAGAGAAACAGATCAGTGAAAGTTTGAGCAAATTCTGATGAAAAATAAGAAAGTTATGCATTTTTGAAATGAGTAAGGGGAGCTCGTAAGATATGTCACAGATTTGCCAATTTTTGTTTGGTTGATTGCACCTTAAAAAATTCCTAACTTTCTTATTTTCAATCGGCTGATACTTTCACTTTCATCGACCTCTTTCTCTCATTTTTCTGCTTCTACTAAAATCAACTTAATATCAGGGTGGACTTCTCCTTTTAAAAAATCCAACCAAATTTACTATGAATCATAACATCTACTTATATAGATGATATCTGCCAAACGAGCTTGATAAAGAATGCATAATGAGAAATGAGCTACGTAATGAATATAATGAAATCGAGGCAGTCTTGCAGGCTTGTTGAACACACACATATTTTGAAAGATTGCCAAAAAAGATTTTGAATAGATTTATAACAACTGCTTGTGCAAAGTTAACTGAAGATACATACATGGAAAATGACCATTACTGCAGTATATAGTGCCATAGTGCAAGTAACTGATAAATGAGTACTGCAGATATACACATGTAAATGGATGGTTAGTCAGTCAATATCACAGCAAAAAGCTATGTAATTACATGTAAATGAATTATTTGGTATTTTAATACAGATCAGGTACCAAAAGATTGAACACACATACACACACAAATGGATAAACTACATGGAGGCTTACATACAATGTGCACATCACACATGAAAATATATGGTATTGATCCTCGTGGGTAGGTTATGATGATGGTGAGTTAGGATATTAGTATTTCACTGCATGAACTCCAAAACCTGTTGTTAAGTGGTGTATTTTAGACCCTTGCTCAAGAGCTTGACCTTGGCCTCATGGTCAGAGATTTCCTTGACCATTTAATGCCAAAGCATCCATCTGGGTTACGATTGGTCAGAACAGAATTTTTCTAGAGGAATCAGTGGTGGCTAGCACTGCATAATGCCTTTTCAAAATTAATGTTCTATAAATTAAGGGCTTAGTCACTGGTCATGAAACTTATTTCCTGTGTTCTCTCCTTCTTCATGTTTGTTATAAAAACTTCCAAAATTAAGTGTCCAAACACTACGTTCCAAAAAATGGCTTCTTGGTCCAGAATTAATAGAGGATCTATCCGTAGGTCCCATTCATGAAACAAATTTACTGTTAGGATTCTGCGACTTCTAGTTTACACTAATTGACTTCATTGTGAAATTTTCGGAGACACAATATGTCATGTATTAAAAGAGGGTTCTGGTCTGAAATAAAAGATTGTCTTGGCCCTATGAATCAGACGATTTTTGTTTTCCATTCCTTCTTTCTTTTAGGTTTCTGCCTCTTTTAGTTCACTCTAAAATTCAATGAGCAAGACCCAACTAGACCAAAACTAATGATGAAAATGATGAAAAGGAAAGTTTTTGTCTAGATCATGATTTTACAGGACCAATTTCCTCTGGTCTTAGTCTATAGATTATAGAGCTAGTTCTAAACTACATCACTCATGTTAGTATGCCTGATATACACACAAATATTATCTGAGTCCTGGGCCAACCTGATGTGGGACCTGCTGGCGTGCTTGACCAGTCGCTGGGTCCTGGCCTGGTCCCCGTTAGTACCCTGCGACAACTCCACCGTCATTACTACCTTCCCACCACCACTACACAGGCAACCATGGTATACCACCACCACCACCCAAAGGATTATGGGTAAATGCATGCAAAAGGGGTCAAGGGTCAAGTAAAAATACAGAAAAAAGAGAAGTAGGTCAAGTCATTTTTCAGAACTATTAACAATCATTCAAGATACAAGATTTTTATCTTTTTAGAAATATATCAATGAAATAAGAAAAATAAAATAGTTAGATACAACAATGTTAATTTCAAGATTAATTTGTTTTTAACATAAATAATGTTGACTTATTAAATTGCTGTGACCCGCGATAACACTGATATTAGCAAGTAATTTTAGAACACAACACAGATATAGCTTTCTGTTTAATTTAATGTATGTAACATAGACGGATATGCTAGGTAAAAAATGATAGCGGGTTGTGTGTCCGGACACCAAACAAAAATAAAGCCTTCTCTTTTGCCTTTGAATTTAATGAAGAATATTCATCATAATCGTCCATGACCTAGCATCGTTTAGCCATTCATGAATGAACCTGCATTCAATCAGCAGATGTACGAGATTTATTGTATTATTACAAACGCTCCTTCTCTCCCCTTTCCTTTTCTTCTCTGCAAGTCAGTCTTTTCTATTTGTATTTGTTATTGTTGTTGTATCTAAGTTGAGGGCTGCGGGCACATCAAGCTACTTTGCTTATTTCTGTAGCCCTCCTGCATCTAATGTATGTTAATTATGCATTCAATATATTTGTTTAAATTCATTTACTATCTGTATAAAATTATATACACTTAAAATATTGTATCAAACCATATTATGTTCATGAAAATGTATGATGAAAAAAGAAAAAAGATGCAGAAACCAATAAATCAAATCAAATCAAATCAAATCAATTCAAATCAAAAGCACTATTTAACCATCATGAATTCAGGTATTTATCATTCATAATATTATCCTACATAAGTAAAGATGAATTATTGCTGGTAAACTTCTTTGAATAACTGTTAAATTGCCTGTCTGGATGACTAAACATAACATAACCAGCAGCTATGAATTTGGAAGTGTTCTGTTTTTATATCATGTATTATAGTCATTAGACATACAGGTACAAGCATTGTCACAATCACAACATTGAGCACAGCATGTGGCTTCTTTTGTGGGGAAATAGTTGCATACCCTTTTGCAATAAATACGAGTTTGCATTTTTTATTGTGATCATTGCATTGCTTTCTGGGATTCAATTTGCATGATATCAAACAACTCAATGTGAAAATAGAGCACAAATGCATTCAAATGTCAAATCTTCTTGGCATACAAAAAGGAGTGCATACAATTAACAAAAAGTTTATGTATAAAACACAACTACACATAAATTGAATGAGACTTCAAATTTAACAGGTCACATGACCTTTATTAACCGAGCCTTCTAACACTGGATAAAGAACATAACTAGAGACTTGGTCATGTATTTAGCAAAGTATTTAGCAGAATTTCTTCTTTAAATGACATAAAGTGTAATATGCTTCATATTTTCTGTATCTCACTCACAAACACCGTCGCTGTTTTCACGAAGTGACGGTAGTGAAAAAAAATTGCATTCACTTTGCGTTACGATTTTCCTCACTACCGTCACTTCGTGAAAACAAGGACGAAACATAGCTTGGTGCAAACATGTATGACGTCTCTTGCGCGCAATCGCCAGTTAATTCACATGTATAAAACCCCAGCATTTTTTTTTTCCTTTTTATTGTGGCAATTTCTAAACAAGTTTCTGAACAAGCCGTAACGGGCTCTACAACACAATGGAGGAAGACAATGGATCTGTTGTCCATTAACCACACTAACTAAATAAATTACAAACTTTAACATGGACCATGAGCGACCCCATAACATATTCGCGTCGCACTAAATTCAGCCCGTTCAGAAGACGCATAAGAAGTCATGTTCATATTTTCGCGGGTTCTGAAAAACCGCAGACACCGACTTAAGCGCAAAATCTGCGAAAAATTAATTTACTGCCAATATTTTTGCGTTTACAGTACCTTACCCTGACCCTAATCCTTCCCAAAACATGTAATAAAAATGCTAACGTTAAACCTTGTTCAGATTTGAAGTGGTAAACCACAGCTTTGTACTTTTTTCAGCAACATGTAAATGAATGGCAACAATGCGCAACAAACTTAAGGTACAATTAATGCATATTCACTGAGCTATGTGTTATACGATACAGAAATGTGAAGAATATTACCCTCAAGTTATCATATAAGAAACCGCTGAGGTTTACAGCGTCTCATCTGAACCAGTCATAACTCTACAGCTTTGACAAAGAAATCAGGGGGGTGTTTCACAAAGATCCTAAGTCGAACTTAACTCTAAGTTGGACCTAAAAATTTGAAGAGTCATTTGTAGCCTTAAAATAAAGTATTTTCAAAAGCAAAAATTGAAGTATTTTCATAAATTCCATATCAAGAACATAAAATCTCCTTGATAATAGAAAATATGAATGATTTGTTTCAACATTTTATGCCTTTTGAAATTACTTTTACAAACATTTTCAAAGATGCTAATGGCTTTCCATAATTGTTAAGTCCAACTTAGAGATAAGTTCAACTTAAGATCTTTGTGAAACACCCGCCAGAATGCCAATCCAGACCCTGCATAGTCAACAAAATATATCCTGAAGCAAAATTTATTGGAGCATGTGTCTGATCTTACCTGACGGTCATCTCTTCATCGCGATCCACCAAGGGTTGCACCATACCGCTGCTATCCTTGGTCGTAGCCTCAAAGGCCACCTGTTTACTGCCCTCTAGCCCCACTCCTTCACCCCCTTTGAAGGAGATTCGGGAGGGGCTCTTGCTTCTCCCGATGCTGCTACCTTCCGATGTCTCGGCCCCTGCCCCGGTGTACAGGAATCCATGGCTTGGGCTGACACCTGTGAGAATAGAGAGTTGATAGTGTAAATCATCTTTCCACTGGACCTTTGCTAAATTGATTCAGGAAAATATTGATCTCTTCAAAGAGCCTTCTCAACAGTCTCATTTTTGGAAAGGGGCTGTTTGTACAGATACATATTTTTCAAGCATCTTTAAAAAAAACTGCATCATTACTCACACTCTGTTCCAATTTTCATGTACCTTTAAAAAGAAAGTGTACATGTAGCTAAGGTGAGATTTACTGGGGAAATACACATATATCCCCAATTTCCCCTCTATACCAATATTTCTCCAGACCCAATAGGCATTGTCCAGAGCAAAATCATACCCCCAACATATCATTTATGGCCTTGATTGTAAATGACTACTATGGAAATTGCATAGAAATAAATGACAGCTTGGCATTTTTTTTTCTTTTATTTACAAATTCAACATATAAAAATAATAATATTAATAATTTTAGAATTGCATAGCACACATACCAGCCTATAATCACAACCCAGGTGCAAAATCAAGACATTACATTAAATTCAAAGTTCTAAATATGAAAGACTAATATGGGGCATTGCAAGTTGACAAATTTGCAACTGATATTTGCAATCAATTGCAACTCAACTTTCTTGCAACACCCCACCAGTCTCCTAAATGTCCTAGGATTTTATTAGGATTAAAGTTTAAACGATTAAATTAAGTTAACTAGATCTAGCTTTTACCCCCCCCCCCCTCTCTCTCTCTCTCTCTCTCTCTCTCTCTTACTATTGGGGTGTCACAAGAAAGTTGAGTTGCGATCAATTGCAAATTTGCAATTAATCGCAAGACTTACGCTTGATTTGGGGGAGTTGCAATTGATTGCAACTTTCTTGCAATGCCCCTTAAGACTTACTTCTCATGCCATCATACTCCTCCTGGTCCAAACGGTCCTTCTCTCGCTTGACAGCGGCCTCTCTCAGGATCTCTCCCAGGTGACTTAGCAGCTTCCTGCGAGCGTTGTAGGTGTCGCGCTCTGCGTGTGTCAGGGCATGGTACGGCATGTGTGCTATCCGACGGTCCTGTCAAATAAAGGAGTTGGATACATGAATATATGTGAGGGAACATGAATTATTAGGAAGTCTCTTGATCTGAATCAGTTTATCTGTGACCAAATCGATTTAAAGGGTGATCAGATGTTTGCTTTGGCAGCATTGTTTGTTTGTTTGTTTTACCTGACTGCTATACAAGAAAGTATGTGTATGCTTGTAAGTAAGCAACCAGGGGACCAGCAGATTTGAGTCCTCTCCAAGGGACTTTGTGATGAGGATTAATGTCTTGCCAAAGGGCGCTAGCACATCGACTTGGTTTCGAATCCGGGACCGTCTGATTCAAGACCACTGAGCCATCGCGCCTTCATTTAGTCTGGACTTTAATTCATCAAATAAGCCACATTACATGTAGGTGTGGGGTTGAGACAGAGTTTTAGGATAGATTAGGGTAGAGGTTACAGATGAACATGTAGGTATTGAGTGATGGAAGTTTGGATTCAACTACTGTAACAAACTTAACTGAAAAGCAATGATCAGTGGAGCATACAGCATACTATACAAACATGTATGATGTATCTCCTTATTAAAGGGATCCGGTAACTTTGTCTCAGATTCTGAAACAAAATTCTGGATTTAGCTCATGATGCAATGATAATTATAAACCTTTAGGTCAGTCAGGAACCCCATGACTTTTACAAGCCGATCGCCTGTCTGATTATCAAGATATTTATGATTGGAATTACAAATTTTGAAAACCGTTCGCCTGACGGTTTTCATAACACTACAGGCTATTGGGGAAAACGAGTATGGTAAAACCGGTCACTCAAAGATTTTTATTTTTTTGAGGCACTTCTTGATCATTTTGAAGCGCAATTTTTTTAGGGCTTCAATATTACACCATATCACAGACACTGATAACACGTAGAGCCGTGTATCTCAGATTTAACATTGTTAAACAATCCCTTTAAAGGATACAAGTAATAAATTACTACATTGTACATACATATTACATTTGATGATTGTTAATGAAAACTAAATACAAATTCTTTTCAACTAAGACTGCTCTTCATAAATAGTACTCTACCAATCGTCAAGTAGCAGCCTGATTTTAAATCGATCAGGATCATGTAACTGTGACTTGTCTTTAACTTTGTGAAGTTGTGTTTAAAGGCCATCTGTACTAGTTTGGCTAGGAGGAATAAAACCGCCAAGGGATGTCACTGATAGGTGGCTATCTCATCAACTCAGCCCTCAATTTAAAAGAAAAAGAGGATCATGGGGGACGAATGGTCACCGATTAGGCATTGTTTTCTATATAGAGGGAGCAAGTAGATACAAGGAGTACAGTGTGGCTTTAAACGCAACTTTCGATGATAGAGGGCGCTAGACAAATATTCTCCTGCGACTGACCTGATTGAACATCCAGTAGGCATAGTCTACAGCCGTGCCCATCTGACGCTTCGGTCCTACAGCGATGGGTGCTGCTATGTTGGCTCCAGCTTTGACTAGTTTGTCAATCTGCAAACAGAGCATACACGCATGGATGTAATTAGATCAAGTGAAGAACATTGAATATAAAAATACAACCTTGCTTTAGAGTAAGAGGGGAAATATATGCTGTCTGAATGGAAATGCAATAAAGCAGTACTTGTCACGTATTTGGTGTGTAGCAAAGGATACATAGGCCTTATGAAATGTGTTAATTTCAATGATTTAAAAAAAAAAATCTTTGTTGTTGTTTTGTTGTGTATTTCTCTGAAATCCAAACTTTTGTTTGTGCTGTGTTGGTAAAGACCCTTTATATAGATTTCATATTGTCTGAAAATTGAGACATGGGATGTTCTATCATTTATATGACTCTCCCTACAAACAGTAAACATAAAAATGAAAGACAAATATTTGAAATGATAGTGGCTATCATTTACAAAAAATATGAATATATATGCTATATTTCCATGCATGAGATGTGTACCTTAGCCTCTTGCAAAACAAATAGTACATTATTCCTTTAATAACTATTTTAAAATCCATCCTCTGAGTACTTCCATCTTTCTTCTATCACATCATATCAGGATGATCCTCTACTGGAATCATCCATTACATGAGAAAGGGGTGTTCTACACGTACCAATGCTATTCTCTGTTGAGGGGTCCTTCTGAATTCAAACTGTGTGTTAGCAGCTACACATAGAGCGCTGCCTATGCTCTGGCCTAGTGGTAGACTGGTGTTAGCATTACAGCTTAGCAACTCATCAATTGCCTATGAGAAAGAGGAGTAGATAGATACATAAATATATGCAATTTATTCTATTCTAACAGAATATATATTCCAATATATATGTTACTCTAACAATCATGCACCTTCTTTCAAGTGTCAATCCATTTATTTACTCTCATTAGTACAACAAATACAATGGTATGAGAAAGAATAGTAGATAGATATATAAATATGTGCACTTTGTTCTATTCTAACAGCATTATTCTATTTTAACAGAATATATTATATTCTAATATATATTCTACTCTAACAATCATACACTTTCTTTCAAGTATAAATCCAAGTATTTACTCTCATCAGCAGAGCTGCCAACCCCAACTGAACAAAAATCCTATTTTTGATCGATAAGCACTTTCTTTTTCTTAAACAGTGTTAGTCAACATTTTGAAGAATTATGCATAGTACATTTTACAAACATTTTGTTGAATAAGCAAGAGTTTGTCATGAATGATCATTTAATGAACCAATGAACATCCCAATATTGCTTATGTGAAATGCTTGAAGGATACTTTACAGGAGAGAATGGGCAATTTGCCATTGTAAATGACACACACGCACATAATACACAAGCACATTCAACTTCTTTTTTTTTCTTCTTTTTTGTGGATTTTTTTTTTTTACCTGTATATGACATCGCCTTCCCTTATACTAGTCACAATAATGTAACGGCCCAGGAATTAATAAGGCACCCTTAAAAGCATCGCTTCAAACCACATCAATATGCTGGTGCCTCACAGACAACATTATCATATCATTTTGTTTGAAATTGACTAATTCTCAAAAATGTATTCTATATCAACAGTCATACATCTTTTTACCGTAATGTAATTTCAATTAATGTAATGTGATGTCACTTATTTAAAGTTTACTATTAAATGATTACTAAAAGGACATGCTTTCGAGTAATAGCAATTTCAGTTGCTTTTGTCACCCCTGACCAGCAGATTGTATCCTTCTCTCTCTCTCTCCTCTCCACTTTCCTATAGCTGTATGTATTATGAAATTTCTATGTATTATCTGATTGTTATACTCATTGTATGTTTTTCGATTGGTCAAATAAATAATAATAATAATAGTAATAATTGAATTCATTCTAAAAATAGTTACTAGCTTTAAACCCACATCAGGAAAAGGTGCTGTATTGCAAAACGGGTAAAAATATTATTTTGAACTGTAAATTGTTGTTCGATGTTAAGGATATGAGAATCTCATTTAGCTCTTCATATTTAAGTCATTCCTAAAGTCATCCTTAACTTTACGCACAGCTTATCATATAAGGTCTACCGTGTTAATTCAATGTATTCTTCCCTTACCAGATCATTGCCGCTAGCGATAGCCAGTGAGAGCGGCGACTGTCCTTTACACAATACGTTTGGATTGGCTCCATGCTCTAGGAGAAGGTGTACCACCTGACGTGCCAGCTGCAAGATAGAAGATCGAGGAAAAATTTCAAAGATTGTATACCACCACCACCGCGGTGGTGGTGGTGGTGGTGGTTATATTACCTGACTGCATGGTAAGAAAGCATAAATGCTTGTTAGTAAGCAACCAGAAGACTGACAGCTTTCACCCGACAATGGACCACTTGGGACTTGTTCAAATCCCTGCCATTGCAATTATATCCTTTGGCAAGGCATTTATCTACGTTTGCCAGTCTCTACCAAGATGTATAAATCAGTACAAGACGGAAATTCTTTGAATGCTTCATTGTCTCACACGGCAGCTTGGCTAAAGCCAAAATAGTAATAGCACTCGGCCTTACATATGGTCAGGAAAAATGCATTTTGTAAATCCAAATATTATCATTATTTTTACCTCATAGTCATCATCCCGATCGCAGGCAATATGAAGTGGAGTACGACCTCCTTGATGATCCCCTGCTGCCTCCAGCTCCAGGAGATAGCTGAACACACTCTCATCAAGACCAGGCTTCAACTTCACACTAGGATCCAAAGGAGACAGATCCTCCTGCAAACAATGCGACAGTGTTTTTTGTTTGTTGTTATTACACTTTAGTGGTAAACTCTCTGCTATTGCCCATTAGGCCTAAAAATCTTGAAATCCACGGTCAGCTTTTTGAAAAAGTTTTTTTTTTTTAACCGTTTTTTTAGAGAGAAAAAAAAACAGCAAAACAGAATAAGGTCAGCCAAAAGAAGGAGTTAAAAAAAAAAAAAAGATTTTCGACCGACCGACCCATGTTTTAGGCCTCATACTGATAGAGTTGCTGCAGTAATTCATACTTTACAGACCCGTATGAAGTCATCCTTTATTTAAAGCAAAGAGCGCTTCTTGAATAGGCAAAACTCTACTTGTGTACATCTAATTTTCTTCTTGAAACTCATTTGCTTTTCTAATGCCTAATTTCTAATGATGAGTGTCTCCTTTCTAACTTGATTTAATTCATAATTTCTAACTTCTAAATTCTAATCTTGATCAATTATTTTCCCCTTCCATTGCTAAGTTCAAATACCATATCTTCTCCAAACAATCCTTGTCTGATTATATATATATCTTATTTCTCATTTTTAAATCAACCTTGGATTATAAGTTCCTGTACTTACAGGATATTCCTGAAGATCTTTGTCCATTGCTCTGGTGTTGGGATTAGCCCCCGCTGCTAGCAGGAGCTTGGTGATTTCCACCCCCTCAGCACCCCTGATTGCACTCGCTATGTGCAGAGGAATCAGGCCTTCTTTCTGTAATGGGGAAGGGGGATCAAGCTGTTAGGGGAGGGGATCAAGCTCACATAGGAAGATGGGAGTTGGTCTAGCAGCATGTTCACTAGGTCAGCTCTCTGTCTTCACCTTGCAAACCGGCTCGGATGGCCCCGGCTCGAAACTCAGTCACTTCTTTCGGATGGTTAAGTTAAAGGTCAGTCCCCAGACGTAAATAATCATATACTGTATGATTGATACACGTCTGAAAAACCCAATTATAAACACACACACTGTTACACAGTGCACATGTACATGAGATCATGTAACTAGGAAAAAAATATCCAGATATGAATCAAAATCTGTCTCCTTTCCTTTTTGTCTCTCAGTCTATTCATATGTCTCATTCTCAACTTTGTATTAATCTAACGTTTTTGTATACGCATGTAGATTACATGACTCCTCCTGATAACTTTGACTTAGAATCTTTGTGAAACACCCCCCGGACAGACTTACCTCAGGTGATAGCCTGGCTTCCGTGGATGCCTTCTTCTGTAGGAGTATAGAGACTGCATCGACATCCGCAGCCTTGATCGCAAAGAAGAGCACGGGCATGGGTACAGACGAGGCGTTGGGGTCCGCACCTCGCTTTAGGAGTAATCGGATTGTGGCCTCCATGTTGGTATGTCTATGGAAGTGAGATCAGTTCAGTTCAGTTCAGTTTATTAAAAAACACATGGCATAGTAATCATGACGAACAAACATGATCCAAATTGAGACCCCAAAAAGCAATGCTTGTGAGTGGGGCCCCTTTGGAGGATGGACATCTCAATCCCAGCGGATTGGCAAAGAGACCAACGTGTTTCAAGGATCTGCGCAAATCAAAACATGAAAGATGGTAGGATACGATCGATCATGGATACGATACAGTCTCGATAGAACCAGAGGGGGAGAGAGATTAAAGTTTGAGTGCTTCACAATTGGAGAGCATGCAATATCTCTCTTGCTATGTTCAAACATGACATTAAACATGTAACAAAATGCAGAAGAAAAGGTTTGCATGTACATGTACAATGAAAGTAAATGGCAAGAGGCATACCTTTGTGTGTGTGGGGTGTGTGTGAGAGAGAGAGAGGGAGGAGGGTGGATGGTGAATTAAAATGTAGCTACTTACAACTATGAACCGTATACCTATTCACTGATTTTTGTGTTAAAGATTCTTACAGAGACTGAAGCATGCTATCTCATTCAATAATCTTTTTCTTTTTAACAATCCTTCTAAATTATGTGAAGGTGATTTTTTTTTTATCTTAGAACTACAATGGAGGTGATGATGAAGTTGATTCTTCATAAGAAGCTGATGTTCATCACATACATAGACAAAAATGTAACTTTGATCAAATTTGGTTTTAAAATCCACAACTATCATACCCATCCAGACTTTCATTCAGATCTACCACGTATTTCAGCTGTTCTAATCATTCTACGTAACCATCACACTCACTCTGCTATATCGATAGCCCGCTTCCTAGCCTCATCCAGATTCTCTTCCTGCCGTGAGATTCCCCGACTAACGACTCTGGGGTTCTTGCTCATCGCGGTGGCGCTCCTCTCAATGAGGTCTTCTGTTATCTTGACACCGAATCCTTTGAGACTCTGGTCCGTCTCAAAGTCATTGATGGAAGTGATGATGGAGGAGGAGCCATGGAGGGAGGTCAGCTGCAAGAGAAAGGGCAAGATTGACAGTAATAATAATAATAATAATAATACATTTATAAAGCGCAGAAACTGTCCAACATTAAGTATATATTCTACTGCGCTACAGGAGCTCCTGATATGCTTAGATTTACAATCAATTGAACAGATGTGTTTTCAATTTTGATTTAAAGATATTTACAGATGGTGATTTCCTGACTTCAGATGTCCAGAGTTTTTGGGCTGCACAAGCAAATGCTCGACCACCTAGCGTTATTTTTGTTTTGATAAAAGAGAAGAGGATAGTGGGTACAACAGTTCTAAATTACAAGACTGGTTCAATATGGTTTCAGTTTGCGCATCATTTCCTGGTATCCCCCTCAAGGCTAGTCAATATTATATCATTATTCAAGGCAATTTTAAATTGTTATGACAATTAACATAGTTTTCACTAACATCATAAAAGATAGCATACATGTAGTTTCAGAATATGGCTCCAGTTCTGTAACCCCTATCGTCTCACATAAATTGTATGGAATTTTAAATTCTTTTAGAATAAAAAAAACTACCCCTTGCACTATCACCAAATAATTATTGGACCAATCAAAGTTCCCCTCCCCCCCCCCAAAAAAAAACAGTGACTCCTTCTTAACATCATTGACTAATCGTAATCTTTTAATTGACCAAACAAGATGAAAGTACAATGTACCTATATCATGACTCTGTGATGTGTATATACAATGTACATGTTCTCAACATACCTTTTGGCTAAGAAGACTGCCAGCTTTCCTCACACTCCGTCTCTCCTCCACTGATTCATTATCCGGATCCCACTCAGGAATAAAACCCTCATCTTCCTCCATTTCAGCCCCAACTTCTTTCACCGGGCTCTCAATATCAAAGAAATCTCTATTCAAGTCATTCCCAGGCTCATCATGGACGATGTCACTCCGCCCGACCTCGGGAGCCGTCTCCGGGGCAACCGTTTCCTCTGGGCTCGCCATGTGGATCTTGACTTTGACACGTTCCTCGCCGAGCGGCACTGGTAGGTAGCGCTCCGCGATGTTGTACTTGAAGGAGGCAATGGGGTAGAAAAGAACATGGCAAGCAGCCAGAGCAGAGAGACCCTCGTCGTTCAGTTTGTTGACGTCGGCCCCATTGTCTAGAAGACAATTGATGACGTCTCGGTGCATATGTACCTGAAAATACATTTAGTTTGTTTAGCTTGATGCTTCATAATGCAGTTTTTACCATAAAGTAGACCTTATCACGGTTACACCCTATGTTACCAATTGTTTTAATTCTCCTGCTCCCATAGAATTAACAAAAAAGCACTAAATATGAAAATTAGGAAGAGACATTTTTTGACATAGAATTTACTTAATTGTTCCACTTATTTCAAACAACTTCCCTTTTTCTTCTCCATTCTCTCCTTACCACTGTCTTGGTTCTTCAACATGAAAGTATATTATTACATTACTGTATAACTTTGTTTTGCAATTTCGATTTCATCTTACAATGACTTACAATATGTATTTTAGTTTTGTATATGTTTATATCTCTCTATATTTTTAACTTGTTTGTAAATTGAACATTTTCAGCCTGCGAGCTGCTTGTTTGATGTGATTTCTCAATAAACCAAACCAATTCAATTCAATTTTATATGGAAATCAATTAACAAATCACATTCATACAGATTGAAAGTCTATACACCTATGCAGTTTCACCACATATTAAAATCTGCCACTGCAAAAGCTACGCATGAAGGCGAATTAGACATTGCAGGAATCATAACTTACTGCTGCCCCGATCAGACCGACGTGGCCGTTCCTGTCAGATACATTAACATTGACTGCCCCCTTGGATAAGAGCAAATGGACTGTGTCATAGTCTCCTTTTGCCGCTGCCTCTATCAGCTTCTCTGACATTAGTTCAATGGGGCCCTTCTCAGTGAAGACTCCTCGATCACCTAGGTACAGAAATAGAGTAGAAGTAGAATTGCATCACATCACTGGTTAGCTGTTTTTTTAAAGAAATTCTACAACTTTATGTATACAACATGCGTCATGTAGAGAGCTGTAATATTCTGGCTATTTTCTACATCCAGTTCGCCCGCAAAAAAAGAAAATGGGCAGCTGAGTTAATATGAATTGCAGCACATCATAGGAATACCGCATGGGCCCCAAACTTTGATCTATTTGATCGTTTTGAGATTGGGATCAGGGGAGAATAATGTGAACACCTTTTTGGGGGTAATCTACATGTTTGTAGACTTGAAAATCTCAGGGTTTTTTCTTGTTTTTTTAAAGCCATTTAGCAAATTTGAATAACCATTTGTTGGCAAATCTGTGTGAACAACCAGAACTATTCCATGCCCCAGATTTGGACACTTGACATCTGTTTGGCTGGTAATTCACCACTCTACTAACCCAAATGGGCATGCACATACGACAATTAGGCCAAGAAAAAAAAGATGTTGTATTGCCCTTAGCGACCGACCCAAAAGTCTTGAAATCTATGGTCGGCTTTAAGTATTTTTGTTACCGTTTTTTAGAGAATTTTTTTTTTAAAACATTCAAAACTGAGAAATATCAGGCCAAAGGGGGAGATTTACAAAATAGAAGTTTTAAAAAAAAGAAAAATTTCTGACCAACCAACCCTTGTTTAGGCACCTAAAGGGCAATACAACATCTATTTTTAGGCCTTATGAAGCTATCTGACTTACCATGGACAAGGGCATCCACCGGGAATTTGACCACACCTTCTCTGTTCCGATGCTTCATCACGTGAAGCTGCATCTCAATCAGAGAAGGGGTATTGTTTAGTGCCGTCAAGGTGTTGTCAGAATCTTTGCTTCCCTCATTCTCATCTCCAAAGAAAGCCTTGTCGTACTCCTCTCTGTCATAAGTCAATGTTTTCAAGTCTACGCTCTCTCCCATGCTCGACTGAAAGATGTCGAAGGTAGTCTCAAAATTAACACTTGAAAGTTTCTCCATCATCGCTCGTAACGACTGTTCCATGTGTCCGTTGGTGTTTGAATCATTACAGGCGTCGTTCAAGGCCCCGTTTAGGGCCGGGTTGCGAGGATCATTAATTTTCAGGCTCAAGACATGCTCAGTTGGGTTGTACTCAAAGTCTGTATGATCAGCCATTGTAAATGCACCCTCTATAGGGCTGCACAGTTTGACAAGTCGCTCTTTCCTCCACACTCCGATGTCATGCTTTTGATCGGGGTATGATAAAAGACCAGGGCCTTCCCTCTCATCATTGATGTATAAACCCTTGAAAATAAATTCATCAAATAGATTAATTAGTAGTTGAGAGAGTTGTCAAATTATCTACGGTAAAACCAAAAACGTTCACATGCATAAAATGTTATTGATTGCTTCATGTTTGCGAAAGTATTATTACTGGAAAAAACTAAATTGACGCACCCCTAAATTTGAGCAATTCATGACAATTTCTGGCCATAAAAATGGCTGTCCTTTTAAAGCATTGTATCCAAACATTGGTTTGTAAAATGATCATACTTGTTCTTTTATTCTTCTCATTATAAGACTAGCATTTGGTCTCTGTCCTCCTTCCATTTTTCTTCCTTTCTCTTTAGGACTAGCCTTTTCCCTCTGAACTTCTCTCCACTTACCTGAAATTCATTACCACTGCTGAATTTGAAGACACCATAGCCTTCCTTTTTGTTCTTGTAGAAAGTCCCCTCAAAGCATGACTTGTCAGGCCATGTGTAGGTTCCCTCTCCATGACGATGGTCTTTAAAATAGGATCCCTTGAAACTCTGTAGAGGCAATAAAAGAGGTTATAACATTTTGGATTAAAGAAATCATAAAAAGAAAGCCTTTGAAACAACTAGAAATGATCTTCTAGTATAATTTCAAGAGCATAGATGTAGATTTGTAGCTCAAAATCCTACACAGCCATAATTCCATAAGCAGAGTAATATTTTTAATTAAAATTGTATTTAATGTTTTGTTTGTGGGATCTTTTGTTTGTTTATTTAGGAAGCAAAGACATATCTCTCCTCATGAAAAAAAAGAGTGATTTATAAATAGTTATGACTTAACCAACCGTCAAAGATTGCATATAACGGAATCTTTATAGTATTTTTTTTGTTGTTGTCAGTGTTCTTTCTGCAAATTTCAAAATAAAGCATCTCACCTCTCCATCTTGCCAATTGTGTTCTCCTTGCCCATGCCTAGTATCTCTGACGAAATCCCCACTGAACTTTGACCCATCTGACCAGATCTGTTCCCCTGCGCCATGTCTATCATTGTCCACATACTCGCCCTTATACCGGTCTCCGTTGGGCCAGACGAAGACACCGTGCCCTTCCCGCTTGCGCCCATCCAGCTGCCCGGAGAAAGTGGCCCCACTCTTATAGTCCATGTGATTATTGTCCATCTCCTTCTTGGCTGATTTCAGCCGTGGGAAGGCGTAGAACTCCAACTTCGAAGGCATTTTTGCTCAGGGTTTTGGTGTACCCATGTACAGAATCCTACCTACAACAATAAAAAAAATAAGGAATTTGAAAATGGAGAACTTAAAAAAAAGGAAATACATTAGTATTACAGAATATAAACTACTCTCAGGCAATTGCTAGTAATTAAAAAGAAGGAAAGGAAAATGTTTTCCATACAATAAGCTTCATCTACAAGATTATTCAGGTCGAATAAGATAGTAGATCTACAGTGAATTTTTCTGACGTAGCCATAGAACTTTTTTTGTGGCTGCGACCCTTTTTACAGCAAGAAACTTTCAAGAATTTGCAAACAATTCAAACAAAATGTTTTCTTTGATTTAACTACATTAGTACATGTATAGATCTAGAACTATAACATAAACCTTTTGTGAATCAGGACTAGAGATAGAGTCTACATACACGGTAAATTATAAAGACTTTTAAAATAATTTTGATGGGGATATTCGGCGCTAGTGTAGTTCCGTATCCATTTTTTTCAGCAGTTTAATATTCATTCTTAGCAAAGGAATTTTAGCCCAATTGTTTACTAATTTTAATAATAATCATATATTGCATTTTCCACCTGAATTTGGATCACATCCGACATCGGGAAACGTTCGTTTATGGCTTCGATGTCGACGTTGTCGCTCAGTACCGTCTCTAAGCTATAGTCCTGCACCTCAAACTGAAGCTATCAGTACAAAATTATGAAGACTTCTCGTATGGTTTATGGTATCGCGCATACGAGAAGTCTGCCTAGTTTTGGACTGATAGCTTCAGTTTGAGGTGCAGGACTAGGTCTATAGCTTAGAGACGGTAATGAGAGACAACGTTGACATCGAAGCCCTGAACGAAGGTTTCCCGATGTCAGATGTGATCCAAATTCAGGTGGAAAATGCAATATAGACTCTAGATCTATGATTATAATTAAAATTAGTAAAAAAATTGGGCTAAAATTCATTTGCTAAGAATGGATATTAAACTGCTAAAAAAATGGATAGGGAACTACACTAGCGCCGATATTCTACCTATTTCGGGTGAATAAAGGTGAACATTATTTAGAGTGATTCACATGGATATTTTTTTTAAATCAATCTTTAAACAGCCATGCACAGCTGCATAACCATCCAACTCCCACTCCTAGTCCTACTGACTCTTTGACTTTGTACACAAATACAATCATGACAATGCATGAAGTCTAACCGTAAACGGGATGTCCAAGCCAACATCAACTTCCAAGTCTCACTCACTTCTGCTTTCTGGGAATCAAAAGCTTCAATGGACAATGGTCAAAAAATTTATCATTTCAAATTTAAATCAATTCTTTTCAGACCTAACTTCCTGAAATGTGCTGCCAGCTTAATGTCGATTTCCGCACGATTATAATGTCAGAATGGCACGGCTGCCGAATAGCGTACCCCGTTGCTAACTGACAACGGAATGCGTCTCGACTATTCGGACCGGGAGCATACTCTATGCCCACAGTAGCCCACCAGGAGATAACCAACAACCGGTGGACGTCCGCAAAATTCTGTTATCATTTTCGAGCCTTTTTCATAAAGGAAATAAATCACTTAAACGAACAAATTATCATAAACGACAAGTATGTAATACATATATATATTTTGCATATAATTCGTTATCTAAACATGTATGCTCACCTACTTTTTTAACTGTTTTTAGTGGTCAATACTGCGAGTTAAAGTAACGCCGTTCATGTTGCTGCAAATTCGTGGACGTGGAAGTATTCAATTTTTGGCAGGGAATAATGGTTTTAAATATATTTATTCAAAGTACTAAATATTCTTATATTAATTTTTCTGATTAATTTAATTAAAAATGAAATATAAATTGTTTGTTAAAACATAATTTTTTGATGATAGATATATCACTAATTAACGAATCAACTTAGATCAAATAATATTCCCCTACCAAAAAAATGGAACAGTCATTTCCAGCGATTCACGAGATAAATGCCTTGCTTGGAAATAATAATAGAGCTCTCAGCTCTCGCTCTCTCTCTCTCTCTCTCTCTCTCTCTCTCTCTTTGGGTGCGTAATGCGACATCAACCTGCCCCCGAGGACAGATACCAGTGATCTCCTTTTCTCTCTGAGAGCAAAGCACCTCAAATCAGTTCCATTTTGGTAAAATAATAATGCTGTCTTCAGAAATATTCATAGTCTCATGAATAGATGGCAATCTGAAAGGAATCTCATTTTGACACTGTAAATTGCTGGAAGATTTTTAAGCAACGCATTTGCGCCTCGCAAGGAAATTTGGATGTACTCTCGTTGTGTCTTGTTTATATGAGCAGCATCCATTAGGCATTACGTCATAATAATACGCACCTTGCCTGTCATGCGAGAGGAGAGCTGTCACTGTGGATGTTCTACGTGCAATTAATCATTCTTGCACGGTTGTGTAGCGGCTGCGGTAAACAAGAGCTGTTCAAAAGGATTCGTCGTATTTATCTGCGATACCTGATTTTGTTTAAACCATTGGACACTCACAAATGAGCAACAACAAATTGAAAAACGACTTGGAAGTAGGGCTTATGATGGCGGACACCAGCAACACCAACCATCGGTCCAACAATGACGGGCAAGTGGAGGTGATCGGAGCGAATGCCTCTGAAGGAGGAATGGGCTGCTGCGGATTCCTTCTCACCATCCTGTCTTGGATCATAGTGATATGCACCTTGCCTTTCTCTCTCTTTATCTGCATAAAAGTGGTCCAGGAGTACGAGAGAGCTGTTATCTTCAGGCTTGGACGGCTCTTGTCCGGTGGCGCCAAAGGCCCAGGTCTGTTCTTCATCCTGCCCTGTATTGAGGATTACACCAAAGTTGACCTCCGCACCATCTCTTTTGATGTCCCCCCTCAAGAGATTCTTACAAAGGACAGTTTGACGATCTCTGTGGATGCTGTGGTGTTCTTCCGCGTCCAGAACGCAACGATCAGCATCGCCAACGTGGAAGATGCCAACAAGTCTACCAGGCTTCTCGCGCAGACGACGCTTCGCAATGTCCTGGGCACCAAGAACCTTGCAGAGATCCTTTCCGACCGTGAGGGCATCAGCCAGTACATGCAGTCCAACCTTGATGAAGACACCGATCCTTGGGGAATCAAAGTAGAGCGGGTGGAGATCAAGGATGTCCGCCTGCCTGTCCAGCTCCAAAGAGCCATGGCTGCCGAGGCTGAGGCCTCCAGAGAAGCCAGGGCAAAGGTCATTGCTGCGGAGGGAGAGCAAAATGCTTCCAGGGCGCTCAAGGAGGCTGCTGACACGCTTTCAGAATCCCCTGCAGCCCTACAGCTGAGGTATCTTCAGACCCTCAACACCATCTCTGCAGAGAAGAACTCCACCATCATCTTCCCCCTTCCTATTGATCTGCTCAACAGCTGGGTGAAATAGTCTAAAATTCCAGATACCAAAATCGGAATAAAGTATATAAACATAAAGTTGTATTGATCAGTGACTATCATTTTCTGGTTCCCATTTTTCTGTGCATAATCAATCTACTTGTTTAAAACATTTTGCTTCAAAAGAGAAATTCTTTAATATTCAACTGTGATATCTCTTGTTCCAGTTGCCAAAAAAATGATCTATTCTCATGTTTTGTAATCCTAGAAGTTTATTATAAAATTATATTACATAGATTTCCGTCATATTTATCTTTTTAAAGTATGCACTATTTAAAGGCAAAAAGTATATTGAACACAGTATTTAACTTCAAGTGATTTTTTACACCAGTATATCCTGGTTCCATATTTACATTTTATGATGTATAAATTAGATTTGATGTGCAAAATGATGTAAAGTTAATGCATGTACATTGCATTGTCCTGTATTTATGTATTATAATCAAATTGTGAAATCAAGCCAAGTGTAGTTGTACTCTCCTTAATATATTTTCTTAATTTCAAATCAGTTGACTAATCAAAGAAGAAATCTATTTATTCACAAAGTAATAGTTACCCGTAGGCAAAACAAAATTTGAAAAGGTATCAAGGCCATGGTATTCCATTGAAAGATTTTGTCAAACATAGAAGACGAAGTTTGTCTGCTGATGTACTAATACTGTATGTATTACATCTTGAATATTATTTTTCCTTACAAAAAAGACAATTCTCTGATATACGTGTACTTTGCTGACTGTAACTGAAATATTTGCTTGTTTTAAACTTGGTTCCAATTTGTGAAGTGAATCAAAATTTGTGAATCCCTTGACTGCATATGATATGGGTAGAATTATACACAGTGACTTGTAAATAAGCACATTCGGCTTTAGAAGGAACAGGGATTTGGTTCTGCACTGTACAATATTTACACAAAAATGAAAGAAAAAAATCTTCCTTACTAAATCATGACTGAATGAACTATTTCCTCTGAATTTTATGTATTGAAGCAAATTTATTCCAGAGTGAGACACTATAAGATTGAAGTGATATAAATGGGAGGAGTAGTACCAACTACGGTAGTCATATCAATAAGCCATTTTTGTAATGAAACCAAATTTAATGCATACAGTGTATGTCTTTGTGAAGTGACAATACAAACTTATTCCATTCACATACATGTATATTACAAATACATGATGTAACTGTATTTTGATATTTGGAATGCAAATTGCTTTAGTATGTATTGTGAGTTAGGGCAAGCCATGATGTTCATCATACCTAGGCTATTAACATCAGTTATATGAAAATCAATTTTCACAAAGAGGTACATGCGTACAACTTGGTTACATTACCAAAATGGCCTATTTTATACAGATTGTATTATACTGCATGCTCATAAACTGTCAATCGTTTGTTACTTAAGATGTTGTTGTTCATTGTTGTAATCTTGCATTTAGTTTTGCTCCTAGTGTTGAGCCATGATTTATATAAAATTGATGTTATTTCAGAATATCTTATTATTTTGTTTGGATTGTATTATTGGTTAATTTCCCGTTCAGTGTTATGTGTACATGTACATATACAAACTCAAGCTTATCTTTAAGGTATAATGATGCAAAAATATTCCTAGTACAATATTCATGTAAATGCAATTTATGAAGGCTACTATAGGATTTCCCTCAATATATGCCAAAAAACTCTTGATACATTTAATTCAAATACCAACCATCTGAATCATGTTTGCCATCTCCAGTAGATGTCGACATGTTTCCTCATAACAGTCATCATCTCAGACTCAAAGTAAATGACTTTAACATTTATGGATAAATATTCTGATGCATTTTAGAAAGAAGGTACCCTCGAGGCCAATATTGGGGGAACATCTGCAAAAGTGAAATAAATACAGCTGTTTACATGATACCACTACGCATTTATGGCATGTACAACACACATCATGTATCTGTGCTGTGTGCATCAGTTGCCGTGCATTGATTCAGCAGCGCTGGCAAACTGCAACTGTTTGGTGTGTTTCATGCCGCTGAGCTGCTCATAATCAAATGACTCCAGCCCTGGGTATAACGTGTGTGTTGAATACCGTTGTCATCGTGTAGAGTTGACCAGTATTCCTGAATAAATATCCATTGCATTTCCAAGTATAATGCGCCTTGCCTATTTTCCAGAAGCAAGTATATGCACAAGGAATGTGTATTCGCTCTGTATTTGCAATACATGTTACCCTAAAATAAACAATGTTTGATATAAAATAAACACTGGGAAGCCTTTGAATTAAAACAGCAGAAGTGTTTGCAAATTGGAAAAATAACCCTTGATGCTGCATTGCATGATACATGTAGATTACTTTGAGGGTGCATTGTTATATACATGTATAGTTGATTGTACTGCTAGTTGCATTCACTCAATGAATATTTACATGTAGTAATTGAAGAATATAATCATCTCATTGTTATATTTCCAATTTCAGATTAAAATAAAACCTTGAGGGTTTGCTGTACTTTGATCTCTAGATCTGAATCTACAGCAGCACATAGCAGTATAATACATGTATGTGCATTCATGTTGTTTACCATATAAAGAACTACCAATATATTATGTAGAATGTTATGGTCTGCTTAGATGCCGGAGACCACATACTGGTATGCCGGAGATTAGATTGGCATGAAGTATGTACATGTACATGTACATGTATGTACATATTATATGGCAGGGGAAGGACAAGTGCTGTATGGTAAGCATATTCAACACAAACACCTTTTCCATATCATCTTGTTCTTTTGTTGTTACTGGTCATATGGTTTTTATCATGGCAGCTTGTATTCATCTTAAAAACATATGTTGTATTTATTAAGATTCCACATGGAAAAGCGAAAATGATGCTATAAGTATATAATATAATGTGTTTGAAAATTCATTTATAATGGATGTAAAATGGGAACATGATGTAAGTTTGGTGACCAAAATATCAATCTGGATGAAATGTATTTATTATGTTGAATAATATGCTCTGTGTACATGTAATTCAGTGCACATCTTGGAAAACTATTATTTTTTAGGTATTGAATGCACCATTACATTTCAATAACCATGTACCAAGGTCCAAGGACAACGCATTGTGCCCCATTACTGCTATATTTAGGGTAGAAGAATATGACAGTCTCGCCATGTTATTTTTGACTCGATATAATTTGTTTTGACTGAATATAGAATGTTGTATGCTTTGTAAGAATTGCTGTGCTTGAAAAAGTCTTAACTCTCCATTTTATTTTGTACATTGTATGTGTTGTATGATTATGACATCAGTACAAAAATACCAGTCTGTAGTATTTATGAAGCTTTTATATTGGAACCAAAAAAAAAATGTTTTAAGTAAATGTATGTGTTTTACTTGATGTAAACATGTAAATGTAAATACAAGGTATTATTTGTTGACTTTGTGCACAAATGTGCATGTATATATTCATGTATTTATTTGATCAATAACTTCCATAAGCACATTCGAATGTTCACATATCGTTAGAAAGCTTGACTTATCCTGAAATTGTATGTACCCTTTTCACCCCAGTTCATGTCCAAATTTACTACTCTACTGAACTACTTCATTTCCTGTTATACCAATATCGCTGTTATCCCCAAATTATTTTTTTGTTATGCTGTTGCCAATTTGATTTTAAAATCCCTGCATCGTCGCGGATAGTATTTGAAGCATCCACACAGTGGGGATGCATTTTGCGGCCGTCGTCGCCGCCAAATAAATGTAAATATTGTCTTGATGCCGTGTGCTCTCTGCACTGAAGGGGAAGGCAAGATGTCATCAAGCCATGCATAAACGGATGCCTGCTGCATCAAAGCAGCATGGCCGGTCGGTCCACACGCTGATGAGCTGCATTTTGAGGGCTAATTTTCAATCAGACCATTCGCTCAAGCACACTCTCCTACTAGTCTGTCATCACAAACCCATTTTGGTCGGCCGCGCGGAACGTGGGTGTTTTGGTATTTCCGTCCCTGCGACGATATTAATCCGATCTGCTCCGCATCTCTCGCGTTGGCTTTGGGTTTCTTTTTTGATACTGTTGTCATGGGGAGCGTGAGGAATTTAGGTCCCGGTGGGAGAATTAGCAAAGTTAGTTGTTGATTGATGGAGTCTGAATTGAAAGACTAAAACCTTTTTTCTCTACTTCTGATATGATTAAAAGGGCAACATGAGTCCAGAGTCTGGGACAATGTGTGGCCCCCATGGGCATTTAGAGGAAAAATGATGAAATTGATCTTAGTGCTCACACGCAGACATATCTAGGCCAACAAAAATGTGTGTAATATAATATATGACGAATAACAATACATGTAATTCAATTTCCTATGATGGCCATCTGAATATTCAAGGGTGGAAATGCACTCTTTGAGTCGTGTTAGGGATCAATTGAAGTGGAAATCTATGTTAAAAATGTTGGCATTCACTCTCAAAAGAGTTCAGACTACTTTTTAAAAGTAATTCCACTATGAATTGATTTAGAGTGAATTCAACTCCAAAATGAAGTGATCACTCCTGACATGATCACAACTTTTTCTATGAAAAATCATCTCAAGAGCAATTTCACTACCCTATTATACACTCCATAGAAATCATGTTCAGAATTAATACATCATTGTCATGTTCTCATGTTTAAATGGGTAATACACAAGGCTATTCAAATTGCCTGAGGTTGATTTTTCAAAAGCAGTTGTGATCGTATTTCTTCTCCATCAGGAGAGTATAGCCTTGAATGTAATACATTGTATACATGTACATATAGAGATGCATCAAAATCTACTTGTCCTAAAAGTCAAAGAAAATGAGTGTGCTGATAGCCAATTAACCACAAATAACTAACTAAGAATTACATGTAAATCCCACATGCTTTGTTTGCAAATTTATCTAAAAAATGGAATTGATGTTGCATAAATATACACGTACCTGTACCATATGCAATGCAAGTCATAAATTGTGGTATTTTCTACTATGGTCATATTTATATAAAACATATGAAGGGTTGATCTAAAAAAAAACTCGCCTGTCTCTGGTATT